AACGTTGTACCTGCAACAAACCTTTTAAACAATGTATTTTAAAACAATTAAATGGTAGAATTATTTTTGTTGCATCTTAAATAATTTGAGTCTTAAAATTTTGATGAAAATCTTCCTGTTACTCTCTAAGCCATGTCCTCAAAGCTGTATGGTATCATATTGAATAAGACTCTTGCCAAATATTTAAAAGTTGTACTGGAGTGGCCATACAAATGGGGTCTCCTTGCTTTTCTCCATCATCATGCTCTATTGACTTGCTGCAAGATTTGGTCCTGCCTTGACTGAGCAAGTTATAGTATCCTGCTGCTGGGATGAACTCTGAAATCAGTGGGACTTTCTGGTAATTTGTCTGCATTTCATTTGAGCTGCCAAGCACAAAGATGACTGTCCTGGCCTCTCCAGCTGGGGACAGGAAACCAGTTTGAAGGTACAGGTGCGTGAATAGCTGTGTGTGACAAAGCTCCAGGATCCATATTTTCCTATATGGAAACATAGGTGATGGGAACATGTGTAGCATCCTGCAGACTTGTTGAGAACAGAGCAGCAAGGGAAGGGAAGAGAAAGGTTGTGAGGTATGTCTGCCTCAAAAAGTAGAGCTGTGAAAAGAGAGGGGGAAGGACACAAGAAGGTTTCAGCTTATTCTTCACCAAGGAATACCCAGCTGGGATTCAAGGCACCTGAAGATGACTTAATTGTAAACCACAGCTCTCAAATGCTTTACTCTAGTGGTGCTTTATATGGATTAATAGGAGTCCTAAGAAAGAAACTGAAGGGGGTCTCTGCCTTGATGTACCCTCTGGACCTTCCCTAGTGTCTTTCATGATCCAGCTATGTTTTTGCCCCCCTCTGGGAAAAGCAGACCCTTTTACAGCCTTAGTTTCCTGATTGCCACTTTGGAAAAAGCTTTATTTTGCTCAGCATGTTTTGTTTTCTAGATGTCTTACCGTGGCACTTAGTTTCCTCAGACATTGAATTGACTGCTAAATGCCTGATGTGTATGTAATGTCTCCTGAACTGTTTGGGTTTTCTGCAGTCTGAGTGTTTTTCAAGAATAAGTGTATTAATAAAACAAGAGGCCAGGTGAGTAATTTCAAAAGGGGAAATAATGCTGCCACCATAAGTGCTGGCTGACTTTCCTGTATAAGGATGGGAAGGGCTGCAGTGCCTCACTAATTGACTTGGATCATGGCCAAGGTAGATACTAAGCAAAGGACTTTTTATTGATGAAATCCTCTTCAGTTTTAAGGCTGTAAGGCCATAGCCTAGCCTGAATACAAGGGGCCTGTTGAAGAAACTTGAAACCTGTAAGGCTAGATGGGAACTTTGAGGCTGAAGCAGGAAAGTGTGAGAACAGCTCTTGACCTGTTCTGTGGTATCATAAGGTGTCAGTGGCTCCTGATGCTGTACAAGGGATGCAAGGGACCCTGCTTCTCACCCTCTGAGCAACAGGCCAACAGGGCACAAAGTCCTGAGCTTCAGCCACACCCTGCTCCTGCCTCCCTGGGGGCTGAAAAAGTGAAGAAGGCAAGAGAGAACATGCGCTACTTGAGATGCTTCTTTGCATTTCTGATAACATTAAAGCCACTTTTATTTCCTCCTTGCTGCCTCTGTAGTTATCCCTTTCAAAGTTACAAAGATCCAAGGCATCCTTTGTAGACTCAGGTTAAAACAGATTCTTCAGATATCACTTCCCATGCTTAACTGTCCATCTAGGTGGGTTGGCTCATGAGCTGTCCCAGTCTTCTTAGCTGAAAAAAATTACTTTTTAGCAAGTTAAAAATGGATGACTCTCCATTTAGGTATCTTTTTACATTCTTCCTTGCCCTATGTTCTCTCCAGAACATGCAAACCAGTTCCTTTAATCTTGTATTTCAGTTGCTATAATTTCTAAATGTGTAATCAGATTTAGATTAGACCCTCAGAAAGGTCTGTTCCTTAGGGTGTTGTCCATAGCATGATATAGCTGCAGGCTCATGCAAAGACGTGAAGAAAGGCACTTCATACTGAGGAGGAATCATGACTCTGAGCTTGATGGATGGAAGTGGAAGAGAGTGCTGTCTTCTGTGGAACATAGCTTGCAAATTTTTTTTCCTACCAAATGCTACAGCAATCTTCTTTAATTATCCTTTTCAGCCTTGAATGTTTCAGCATTTTTTTTTATCAGTAGTCTCAGGTTCCCAGGTCTTTGCAGCTGAATCACCCCACTAAAAAACTTGGTGGATTTCTTGATTTATGTCTTAGCTCTCATATATGCCTCAAAATGACCTAACCCACCACATATGTAACTACACCTTGTGTTAAGTTTTGTAGTATATTAGTTAATAAAATGAACATCATCTGTTTATTATCATTTGAAGTATGCAGATATGAAAACTGTTTCAGGGAATTAGAATGTATAGGGAAAGAGGTAGGGATCAGCACAGACCACTGTAATAGTCCAACTACATTGTCTACTGTGTAAAATGCGTGGAAATCATCCTCTGGGCAGTTTCTGATCCCTGGAGGCAGCCAAAGCAGCTGCTTAATTATCTTTCTCCTGCTGATCTTGCAATCAATGAACAGGGAAAAAAACAAAACACCCCAAACAAACAAACAACAAAAAAAAAACCCAAACAAACAAACAAAAAACAAAAACAAAACAAAAAAAACTAAAATAAAACAACAAACTACTGAGTTTAAATAATATTTCAAGGTTATTTTAGGCGTCAAAAATTGTATTATCCCAAGTATGGTCTGTCAGAGTGCGATACTGTTCTGTCAGGACTTAGTGCTGTTTAGTCACCTCCCACCCATGATGCCAATCGGTCCTGTGGCACAGCCTGAGGAGCCTCTGGGTTTATTTTCACTGCTGAAACAACCTGGGACCACAACTCTCTCTTCAGGGTCTTCCACTGTGATATGTCCTCCCTATCCAAATTTTCACAGAGAAGGTGTTGAAACCTCCTGTGACAGTGCCTTACTGGCATGCTGAGCACCCTTGCCCACAGACAGCAGATTTTTTTGTGGTCCCAAGATAATAATTTGTTCAGACCAATGGAGGAGATGGACTGACCACTTGTGGAGTAAAAGTCCAGAGAGCAGATAATGGACTTCATTGTTGCTGAACTGATATTCCTAAAATAATCCACATAAGGCAGTGAAATACCACAACACAGAAGATTTTGTTTCCTTCTTCCTGACTTACACATCCAACAAAGTGACAGTTCAGAATCTGGTCACCATCTTTCCTGGGAAAATGACTAATGACTAGGAAATGAATTCTTCAAAGTAACTTTGAAAGCCTCAGCCAAACTGTCCCAAGTTTCTAAAAACTGGCTGTTAGTATGGAAGAAGTTAAGGGATTGCAAACCCTTCCAAGTTCCCTGGATTTCAGTGGCAGTACTTACTGCTGGAGCTGGGATTTCAATGTTTGTAAAATGCGTTTAAGAGAATAATAAAAAAGAAAATATGCAGAATACTAATTAACTAACCATTTAGAAAATCATAGTGTCTTCTCATCAATGTGTATGAACTGCAATAGTTATAACCACCCTGGTGATAAAAAACCCTAACATTTATGCAGTTCTCTGACTAATTTCCTGCAGCATATGCAAACAAAATTCAATTGAAGGCCACTACAATATTAACACATATCTAACCAACAAATCTCAAGGGCTGTAGTCTTATCACATTAGTTGTGGAAACCTTTTACATAACTTGCATAATTTAAATATTTACAAAATATAAACTTTCTTGTCTTATCAAAAATAGTTCTTTGCACAATTAAACAACAGTAATCCTTTCACATGATGCTTTTTAAGCCAGGCATTAAATCACTGCATAGAAATAAACAACCTTTCACAGATGTAAAATAAAATTAAGCCAACATATGGAGACAGAGAAAGTGTTATCATTAACAGTTTAAATATTTTAGTGGTGTGAGCCAATCCATAAATTATATTGTGCATTGAACTTACTGAGGATGCAACCTAATGAAAAATTCTAGCTGCTGATCTATAAAGAAAATCTGTTTTAAAAAATCCTTTGCTTTATGGCAGATTCCTTTGGGCTAAATCTCATGTGGTTAATTTTCATAATGATGGTGAACCATCAGTGAGATGGTTGAATGTGGCGGGTTATTGCATAGAATTCAAGAGTGGGGTGACTACCAGCTGACTCACAAAATGTGTGCTCAGATACTCAGGAAATGCCTGCAGAGGGTTTTATTTCCTTCAAATATCAAACTGTATTTCTGTCCCTTCTCAGACCTGTCCCTTGAGTGTTTGAAGGACAACCCACTAAAAATCCTGAGGTTGCTGTTGGGTACCCCGTTCACATTCACCAAGCTGTGCTCCTGCCTCTCTGCCCTGTGCACAGCTTGACCCTCCTTTTCCAGGCAGACACTGCTGAGCTCTCTGCAGTCACACACGTTCCTCACTCCCCAGTGCTTTTCTGCACATTATGCAGAAGGCAGTTTTCTGAACGGCTGCAAGGCAAATGCTTCGTGGTCAACAGCTGAACTCTTTCCCTATCTTTGTGGGTTTTTCTGAAGTCTGCAGAAATGAACTATCTAGTGGATCCATCTAGTCCCAGTTTTAAAAGCACAGATATAAAGACTATGTCTAATGTGTTTTACAAACTCTATTAACTCTTCAGTCTCTGCCTAATGAGATCTTGAGATTTCTCCACTGTGCCTACCCACCACACGGATCTTCAGGACATTGTGTCTATTAAATACTTGAAAAGTTTAGCATCTGTCTCTGCTCGTGGAATAACACGTTCAAATGCATCATCAGGAGTCCTTTTTGCTGTTTGAGCTGTCCCTGCGTGCAGCCTGATGTTTACTCAGCTGTCCTTTCAGTCACAGCAAGCTTGGGCTACCCATTGTCTGGCAGTACCTGTTCCCCCCGAGGCCGGTCCCTCTGAAATCCCACACGGTGACAGTGACTGCTGTCGCTGCGGCAGCTGCGTGCACCACCCAGCCTGGCTGGTTTGGCCATCTTTCTTTCCTGTCCTGCATCTCACTTGCAGGTGTGCACGTCGGTCATGGTCTCGCACCTCCTGCAGCGCACGTAGCAGCACCAGACGAACTTGCACTCGCAGCGCTCCACGTGCCGGACGACGTGGGTGTTGTACCCGCGCCCGCAGCACAGCAGGTTACAGCCCTCGGCCCCCTGCGACGTGCGGTTGCATTCTCTTCCCTGCGTTCCAGGGATCCCCAGTTTTTGGTCTTCGACACAGTAATTGGGCGATTTGTTCACATACAGCAGGTCCTCTTTCCCAATTGGTATTTTCCTCTGGCTTTTCTCTTTCCTGCGTAGCTTTTTTTTCAGTCTGTCTGATATTTGTATGCTGTTTTCATACTTATCCTTTAAAAACCGGCCAATCTTTTCAAAGGATGACATGGTTTTCCAACAAGTTTTCACAGCACAGGACCCAGAAACACCATGACAACGGCAATCCACGGACATCAGCTTTGCTACAGCCTGAAAGCAAAGGGAGAACAACATTTGGATGTGGTCTTTCATTCATCAGGAATGCTGCCTGACATCAGTAGCACAGAGGTCTCAAAGTATTTAATGTTACAGCTGCCACTGCCATTTCCACAACAGGGAAGTCAGAGCACGTGTTAGGAACCAGGTTTCCAGTCCTGGACCCCCACTATGAGAGGCATGATCTTCAGACTTGATCTTCATTTGCAGTTTGCAATGGCCATAATGTAGCAATATTGATCACAACAGTGAAAGCTGTGATTTCTGGATGGCTTTTTATTCTGGAGGATCCTAAATACCTCAATGACCTGTCCTGCATTGCTCCTCCTACTGCTGGAATGCAAAAGGTTCTTATGGGCAAAAGGGTCTAGTGGGGAATAGCAGAAGGGGAAAGCAAGGATAAGGCAGGTCACAGCACCCTTCCTATTTTGGAAGACACTGGGCAAGAAGTGTCCAGTTATGTTGCCTTTTAAGGGTACTTTATAGGTACAATGAAGACCACTAAACATTCACAACCCTGTTTGTAACTAAGGCCACAGGAATGGCTGAAGTCACACAACAGTGCCTGGGCAACCAGTGTGGCTCAGCACCCAAAGCAGCACAGGCGGAGGCACCTCAGGGCAAACTGCTGGAAGAGCAGGAAGATGCCCCCATCTCCAAGCTTCACAGAAAGTCTGTCAAAAGACCCACTATGGCTTAGCAGAGGTGTCTTCAGCTCAGGTAATCTGCAGTAAAGCTCAGGTGCTTCTCACTTGTAGTCTTAAACCCTGTTCTTTTAATTGAGACGTAACCAGTTCTAGTACGAGTTTCTAGTATTTCCAGTTTCATAATGGCTCTATTTATCACAAATAGGTAGCTGCATTCATAGTACTTTTTTTACTGTCAATGTTTTAGCAAGGTTTCCACAGTTATTGCCAACACAACTTCTTGCCAACAAGTGAATACTTAAATACTTAGATGAGTTACTTTTCCATGCCCATGCAGAAGCAAAGGATGGGCTGAACAGTAACTGACCGACAATGGGAATCTGAAGCCTGTGTTAGCTTTTTGTAACACATAACAGTTTTGGCTCAGTTTTAGGAAATCAAGCCTCAAATAACTGGAACCTGTAAACAAGCAGTAACTTCCTTTATCTCATATCTTTATCTTGAGACTGACTCAAACACTCAGGAGACAATCAATACAATACTTTCTTGTCTAACATCTAATAGTCATAGAATAAAATCATACAATTAGTCTTGTGACAACCCTCACATTAGAGTTTGAAAAAGGCACTGAAAACTCACACATGTACAGATGTAGTACCAGATATCATAATTTTTGGTTTGTTTTACATTTACATTAACATACCTTCTGGAGCCATCCTGTAGACTCATAAGGGCCATTGGTTAGTAGTGTGGAAAGCCCATGTTGCCATCTTCCATTTTACTAACCTTTCCCCCTATATTTAATTTCCACAATCAAAGCAACTGAGAAATTTAACAGTAAGTGTGGATTTTAAATTAATTCATAGTAAGTTTGTCTTGAAATTCCTCATGCATCAAGGCCAATGCATATTGAAATGAATCCTCTTTGAAGGAACTGCTTTTACCAAAACATGGGGGGAAAAAAAAGAAATCAACATCCCAACTACATGATGTTTATTAAATTTCATCCTCAGCCTTTGCTTATCCCTCAGCCTCCACATATACTATATACTAGCTGCTGTCAGTCTATGTCTTTCTGAAACTGAATTAAAAAAAGAGAAGAAAAATCTAACGTCCTCCTCTGGTTTCCCCTGAGAAAGTAGTTTCATTTGTTCCAGTTCCTAAGCCTTGATTCTGCAGTGAGATCTGATACCTGCAATCCTACCAAGCCCCACTGGCCTCTGCAGGACCAGAAAAAAACTCGAGTCCCTGACTCCATATTGGTAGCTCAGGCAGCACAAATGCCATCCTCAAAATTCCAAAACCAGTCAAGGCATGCAGCAAATCAAATGAGTTACTTCTATTCTATGTGCTAAACTGGGACTTTTCATCATGACTGTGGTCACTGAAGTTTGGGATGAGTCCACCAGGGTTACTCCAATGGTTTCACAGGGCATTGAGGCCTCCTGGCACATTCTGCCCCAAAGGTGTTGACTCAGTCTTGAGCTGGCATTTGCATAAAACACTATAAGCATTAAAAAAAAAAAAACACATGATCAAAGTGTTTGCTTGGAGTCACATCTTTGGTGAATAAACAGGAACGATTTGTAGGTGGAGGTTACTATGGAAGCCAAATATGCAAGACATTCACAAAAAACTCTAGCAAGAAAGAACAGGCATATGCCCTGACCTAGAAGAGCCATTAGCCTTTGCAATCTAAACCTGGCAAAGAGGTACTCCTGTACAGGAAATACTTCCACATGCTGTGGGGGCTGCTTTTGCAATTGGAGATTTTTCTGCACTGCTGGAAGAAATAAGAATATTGCATCAAGCAAACTCTCACCCATGAGCACACACAGACTCTTTTAGTGGCAAATCAACTGCTAGTTAATACTGGTAGATACTTACCATCTCTTCTACACAGACTAGTTTCTCTTTAATAGACAGACTTGACCTTGCTCATATCTCAAGGATCTGTCAACAATGAAATCACTGGGTAGTCAGAATTTGATTCATTAAGATGTAAGAGTGGTTGAGGCAGATGAGAATTTAAAATTCTCAAAAAGTCTGTCAGAAGACAAAAGTCTGTCAGAAGGCAGATGACCTAATAAAATGTGAATATCAAATACAATATCGAAAGATAAATTTTACACACAACTTAGAGAGGACTTAATAGCATTTTTCCAATTTTGAATGCTAAGTTATTTTTGTCAAGTAACTAGAATTTCAAAGTAGTTTTAAATCATATTGTGCTACTAGATTTGTAAGCTTACAGATGTAATCCTCATTTTCATTGCAGTACAATAAGGTACTTACTAAGGGCAGAAGGATCCAGAGATTGTAGAGGAAGCTCTGGACATGCCTGCTAGGTGCTGAAGGCCATGTGGGCAAGTAGCCCAGCAGATGACACTCAGAGTCTTTCTCTGAGGATGAATTAAACAAAAGTAGAGGGAGACAGAGTTTCGAAACAGGAGCAGAAACTGATGTTGAATTCTTAGACTGATATCAGAATATAAAAATGTGGCATACATTAGCAGTGTATGAATGAGCAGATGAATGAAAGAAATACAAATCTGATTCAGTGTTTTGCTTCTCAGCTGCTAGAATGGGCAAATTTTTAGCCTGGACTCCAATATACTCTAAGTTGCCAGCACAGGAAGGTGACATTTTGCTTTGCCTGATCACAGAACATGCTACTGCATCTCAGCCTGTCATGTGAACTTCAATGAAGAAGCTCCCATAATTGAACATATGGCAAAATTTAGGGATTAGGCATCTCCTGATGGTGCAAGCAAACCTAAGATTGTACCTATAGAGCCAACATGGCCTTCAGGTGGGACACAGCTGCAGCATACACCTGTGTCTCAGCAGTGCACAGTGACTGCAGACTTACTGGGACCATGACCTCCAGACTGACTACACAACCAGTGTTCTGTTTCACATTTTAGGTTCATATGGTGAATCTGTTCAGTTATTCATGAAATAGTGAGAGGATTCTCCGTATGAAACAAAAATCCATGGAGAGTTCAGAGGATCACTGTTACAGAGACCTAGTGGATGGATGTGTCATTCTGAGCTGGGACAGGCTTTCTTAGGTGGGTTATGGAACTGACTGATAGCTTGTGAGAAAAGAGCAGTGTGGTGATAGCTGGGTCCACCAGCACTGTGGTCAGCCACAAGCCCATCCAGCAGTTCCTCCTGCCCCTACTGCCACTCACCCTTGGTGGTACAACACGCGCACAAAAGCGCAGGGTCAAGTGATGAGCAGGGATGAACGCTGCTCTTTTTAAAAATTAAACCTGAGAGAAAGATCACTTTTAAACCACCTTCCTTTCACTGATCCAGTGCAATTAACAGAGGGAGCAGCACAGGGTGGAATCTGTGGCTAGAACAGACAGATGGGGCAGAAAGCAGAGACTGATTTGCAGCAAGGAGTGTCAGTGGAATCACAGTTTGCATACTCTAATGCCAGTTAATGCTTAACATGTCCAAGTTAAGCTTTCTGTTTGCAGGCATTGCTCTCAGCTGTGAGACAAGAACTGCCAGTACTTGTTTTGTCACAGGAACCAATGCCTGCAATCAAATGTCCCAATTTCAGACACTGGTAGAACTAATATGATTATTTATGAAGACAAGCACATGTCCTCCCAGAGACGCATCACTTAAGAACAGTTCCAAACTTGGTGAGTCTCTTACCAATGCACAAGTATTAGTAAAAACAAACTCTCCAAACAAGTCCCACATCAAATAAATTTCCACAAGTGGAAGAGTGAGCAGAATTTTTCCAGCAGTAAAATAATACTAATACAATGATAATGAACCCATAGTACCTGACTCCCCACATACTTTTGTCTAAGGAGCAGAAGAGCCCAACTCACATATGCACACCTAAGCACACTGAAAATTGCTGTGCTAAAGGATGATGAATGTTTATCTTGCAGCAGAATAAGGATGCAATAAAGGATGATGAATGTTTATCTTGTATCACAATAAGGATGCATTCTGAACCTTCTGAGAGTTGAATTAGTGGACAACTCCTGTGACAGTTTTAACATTTTTATATGTTAATATAATAACTATGAGATATGGAAGTATAAAATAACATTTTGCACTGACATAGGAGAGAACCAAGAGAATTCTGCACATACCAGTTCTGTTACTAACTCCAAACAAACAGAGAAGTACTGTCCCTGGAAGACTGCTCTTGCACGACACCAAACCAGGAACATGATAGTATTTATTACTAAAAGGCCATAAGATATCAAAACATCCTTCTTGTAAGCCCCAAAACATGAAGGTCTTAACTCCTAGTTAAGATTTGGAAATACAAAAAGGAAGAGTTATGCTAAACTTCGGATAATATTGCTGCTAGAAATCCCAAGTACCAACAATAAACTTTTTCATTCTGGACAGTGATCAAAATATTTGCTTTATTCTACATTTTGCCATTAACTTACAAAATATTCATGCATAGAAGCTGACTATATATATTTCTTCCTTAACTATCTCACTCTACAAACATGATAAACGACCCTTCGCTCTTTCCTTAAGGAAATAATAATTTAATCTTCTGTTCCTCTTATTATCATCTCCTACTACAAGATACCAATCACCTTTCCTTGGAGATGATTTAGCTGACTGACATCTCATTAAACTCATAGCTTTTAGTTCTCAGCTTTTACTTAGGTTTAAAGTTTGCTTCAACTACTTCAGTTATAAAAAGGGTGTTTGTCACCTGGAATCATGGAATGGTTTTGATTGGAAGGAACCTACAAGATTTTCTTCTTTTCCAACTACATAGCTTAAGTGAAATAACACATATTACCTGTAAAAATTACTTCAAATTAAAGTAATTTTCAATTATACCACCATGGCTCTTATGATGGCTTACTATGGCTATTCCTTGTCTATGGCAGATAGGAAAGTTGGTTACAGTAAAACCCACTGATGCTGCTTCCAGCTACAGGAAATTTCGGAGTCACAATGGAGTCCCTCAATATGAGTAGTCAAAACCAGAGGCTTTCCCTTTCTTTTCCCCCCCCTTTAGTTAAAGCTGTGTCACTGAGCAGAACAGATTTAAAGTATTATGGGCCCAGAGAGAGCCATTAAAGATGAAATCTCCAAGGTAAAGCAAAGAAAGTAATTTTAAAGGAAAAATAATACAAATCTCTGCCATTCCAGATGAAAGCTCCAAGCACTAGATTACAGGCTCACATCCCCCTGTACAGGCTATTGCTGTCCCCATTTTACTGCTGTCCCTCTGCAGGACAGGAACAAGAATCCAATGTCACACACCCAAACACACAGTTTTCCTCTGCAACCCTGGGTTGGAAGTTCTTTGGACTGAAAAAAGCTATCCAAAATCAGTCTCCTTTCACTTCTTTGATGCATGTCCTAACCAATGAGCTCCTTTGAAGGTATCATTTCTAGCCCATGTTTTTAGAGAAAATATTCACTCTTGATTTCCCCTCTGAACAATGTTAAACTTGCACTCTGCAAGATGAGTAATGAGGCCTTGTGTCCAGCTGGCCTTCTCATTCAGTATTACAGAGAATTATAAATGCAGATCATGATAATAACAGAATAATCAGTGACAAAAATCATACCATATTATGATGATAACAGGACTATTTCAAGTTTGTACCTGAATATCAAATATCTAATTAAGATAAATTTACTATTTAGCACTGCAGATCTATTACTTATTTTGTGGATCTTATTTTAACATACTGAAATTAGTTCGTTAAAACCAGCTCTGATTGTGAGTTTGTACATGTTTCTTTGGTGATGTTACTGCTGTTCTTGCCACTGGCCCCATGAATACCTGCAGCCAAGGCGCCACCTCCTTTGCCTGATGTCATTTTGTCAATGAAGGTGATGGAGTGGCTGCTGCCACACCTGAATGACACCTACCTGCCTCCCAGCCTCGTTGTTGTGCAGGTTCATCGCCACCAGCCCGCTCCCGCTCTTGCCTGTTGCGTTCTTGAAAGGCACGTCCAGGAACTTTCTGCTGAAGGCCATTCCATAGTGGATGTCGTCAGAGCAGCCGCCCCAGTGCCAGCCCTCGCTGGCCGAGCCGCCGTGCCGCAGGGTGACATCGCAGGAGCACTCGGTCACATTCCCCGCGCTGCACGAGCGCGTCACCGAGTGCACGAGCCCCGCCGCCGTCACCGCCGCGATGAACGCCGTCTCCTTGGTGCCTGCACAGCAAACGTTACTCCATAACTGCCTCTGATCACCCTCCTGGCTGGGCTACACGATGATTGTTAAAAGGGAACAGTTACACGTTTAACGTCATCACAGCTTGGCCTGTAGTGTGAGCTTGTTCAAAGCAGTGGATGTTCATACCCCAACACGACTTCAGGGCATGGCCTCTTCCCGTGGCCATGCTATTAATGATGCTGCTTCTCACTACTGGTACCATAAAATTTTTGGTAACTTCTTTCTAAATCTGATTAGGAATTTTATTTGCCACAGAAATTTTCAAGCCAAATAATAAATAAAGAATCAAACTCCAAACTAACCACATTCCAAACCCCTTACTCTCCACTCTGCTTTTCACTATTCAGATTGATTTGAAGAAGAAAAGGTCAGTCTAAATCTCAGAGAAGCTGTCATGATCCCAGGTTACTTTGGTACAGGGCCAAAACTTACCTCATGCTAAATTTAGCAAACGTTGGTGTTCTTCTAATTCACAAAGGTTGCAAAGATTCCCAAAAGTCTTAAACGAGGCAGAAATCAGCACAAAGATATTTAGGCCATGTGCTTTTCCTAGAATAAGCTGGCCATGGGAGAGAGCATCATGAAAGGCTGTTAGACTGGCTTCTTACGCCTGTCCCATTCTCTGAAACTTCTGGCACAACGTGGCACCCAGCCACATTTAACACATTACTGTGTTAAGTAAGGCATACTCTAAGCAAATTGAATATCATTGAGTGGTCAATATATGTAGCTGAAATTTTACTGAAATGGGCCAATTTTTACTGTGGTGAAAATTATTTATTTTCAGTCTCTGATATTTCTGCTTATGGGCAGGAAAATTCTGGTTTGCTTCTCCTGTTTGTATCAGTCTGTGGTGCTGGTGCCATCATAAAAGGCTTCCACAATACACACTAGTGAATCTTTGTGGGTGAACAGTGGCACTCATTTGTGGGTCTTCAGGAACAGTCCTTCCTGTTGAACAGAAGGACTAATACACATATGGCTCCATCTTCTTTTTCTACCCTTTCCTTTTTGGAATATGCCCCACTTTTTATTCCTCAATTTATGTTTTTATTATTAAAACTTATGGGTTTTACACTGCTTTAGTACAAAGTGAAGATTGTATGAACACTAACTGAAGTACCACAATACTTAAAATCACATCCATCACACAATCAGTGACCAGGGAGCTAAAAAAAAAGTTTCAGGATCCTTGCAGGAAAGCTTTGGCACGACATTTGATACAAAAAACTCATCCTTGTTTCAGTGGAAATTCCAGCAATTTCATAATTATTTTATGCAAAAGAAAGCATCTTTGGTTTCACTGTGCTGATAAATATCACATAACTGAGCACATATTATATATTTTAAAGCATTTCAAATTGTATTTAGTGCCCTAAGTAGACATTTTTACCTGCAAGTGACCTTTCTGAAATAATATGTCACAAGCCCACTTATTCAGTAACTATGACACAAGCGGATAAACCCAACATAAGTCTAAGAAGAGTATTTCAATATAGTTAAGTGGCTCTACCTACGGGCAGTGTCATCCACGGACGTACTGCACGAAAATGACAAGAAGCAACAACAGCGCTGCAAAGACAAGGGCAGGTTTGGTGCGCTCGGTGCATTTCGTGTGCCTGCGGTACCTCCCGGGACGGCGGCGGGGAGCCCGCCGGCTCTGCCCGGCTCTGCGGACGGGACGCACGGACGGTCCCCGCGGGGCTCCTGGCCTCGCAAACCCACTGTCCCGGGGCAGCCCCGGGCCCCGGGCGCTCACTCACCGCTGCTGAGCTGCTGCCCGAAGGCGGCGGGGCCGGCGGTGCCGCGGCGGGCGGCGGGCGGCGAGCGGCAGTCCCAGCGCTCGTGTCGGAACTGGCTGCGGCACTCCTGGAGGCCCAGGCGCGCTCCCTCCCGGATCGCGGGCACCAGCTCCGGTTTCTGCTCGCACAGGTCCTGCTGCCGGCGGCTCAGCGGAGGGCTGGCGCAGCCCGGCTTCTCGGGCCCGCCGGCGGCGGCGATGCCCAGCCACCTGCGGAGGCAGCCGCCCGTCAGCGCCGGGCCTCGACGGACACGAGGGGACGGGCTCCGCGCAGCCCTCCCACCCCGACCCCCGGCTACTCACATCCAGGTGCTGCCGGCGGCGGGGCAGAGGGCGAGCAGCAGCACTGCCCGCAGCAGGCACGGTCCGAGGGGAGTCCCGCGCCCCATGGCAGCCGCATCCAGCCCCGCCGCGCTGCCGCCCCTGCCCGCGGCCCGCCCCGGGCAGCGGGGACCGAGGGGGACTGCAGCCAGGGCACCCCCTACTCGGGTTTCTGCCCCTCCAGGGACGGGGGACAGCTGGCGCGGCGAGCCCGGGCCGTCGGACGGCTCTCCCGGGGAGGCTGGGCTGGCAGGGAGGGCGGCAGGAGGACACGCATCGGGAGCGCTCGCTTCCCGTCAAGGTGAGAAAGTTGGGATTGATGTTTTCCCCGGCTCCTTCCCCGGCTGTGCCTCCCCGCCCGTGCATTGGCCGCCCGGGGGCCGGGGCGGGCCGGGGCGGGCCGGGCGGGGGCGCAGCGGGGGCTCCGCTGCACAAAGCACGGCCCCGCACCGCACCGCTCCGCACGGCCCCGCACCGCACCGCCCCGCACCGCTCCGCACCGCACAGCCCCGCACCGCACCGCTCCGCACGGCCTCGCACGGCTCCGCACCGCTCCGCACCGCCCCGCACGGCTCCGCACGGCCCCGCACGGCCTCTCCTCTGCGGTGCTGCCTTGGGCTGTGAGGCGCCCAGAGCGGCTGCCAGGGGTGTAGCGGGGTCCGGGCGCGGCAGAGCGAAACTGAGGGCAAAGGAACCCGTAGGTCCTGCAGTGATTTAATCCACAGAAATGAGAGAGATGCTGATACATCATAACATTCCCTGATGCTTTAGCAGTGTTAACTGAGTCAGCATCAGTATTCATTCGGATAGCATTTGTTCATTCCTGTTAACTTCAGTGAGAGCCTTATCAACTGCGGCCTCGATTGCTAGTCCTTAGTTACACATTAAAAGCCAATGAGTCAGCTAGCACCTGATGGAGAGCTGGTGTTGGCACTCTGGACTTTCAAGTCCTCTTTGATCACAATATATTGCTGCTTCCTTCTGTGTAAGCAAAACACCTGCACTAAAAATAATCTGGATAAAATGACAGATCTGTAAAACTTTGATTTGACACAGTTGTAAATTAGTGAAATAGCTCTTGTGGACTGACAACAGCTCCAAGTGAAGAGCACAATAAATCATCTCAGTGACAAATGAACATTTTTATGAGTACAACATCTTGGGAAATAATCACGTAGCTGTGCTGTTTTCCCTTGCCTTTTTTCCCCATGAACGTGCAGAGATGTTTTAAGAGCACAGTCTGTGGTCTATTTAGATCTAGAAAATGATGCCTCCTTCCCACTTCATGCTTATGAATCTGCTCTCAAAGCATCTCCAAAGCATCATCAACTCTGGGCAGATTGCTAATGGCCCGACTAGTTATTTAAACCTTTCAATATAACTTAGTTTCTTCGTTCTGAATTTTAGTCTAGAGAACATCTGCTTGTGGTTGCAGAGGAACTTAGACCAGAGTGAGGGACATTGGAAAACAGGGAACCAGCCATGAAACAGGCCTGAACCAGCCAAAATGTGTGGGCTGTGTCAGAGAATTATCTAATTATTCCAGGACACATGGTTCATTTTATCCTCTTTGCTGCTTCCTGGCTCCATCTTCTAAAGTTAATTCAGAGCCTTGGCCTAGAAAACGTGGATTCCTCATGTGCTGCTTTATCTGCTCTATGAATTTGTCATCCACTCTGAAATTATTTTTTCCTGCTGGTTCTTTAAAGAAGTTTCTTCTCTGTGGTTGTTTGTTTTGATTTTGTTTTTCCTGTTTTTTTAAAAAAATTATTAAAGTTATAATAGATCTTTTGGTTCTAAATTCCCATATGTGAATTTTTCTATAGTAGCTACAGAATTTTATATACAAATAGCAATGTAAGATTTAAATTTTAAAAATACTGATTTCAAAAAGTCTAATCCTATTTGTAGCATTTCGTATATGGCCCCTTAAATAAATAAATTACCTTTCTGTTGGGTTCTCATGGGGATCTGATTTTATGTACATTTTTTTTCTGCAATCATCTTTGCCTAGTTAAGGAAAGTCTTTGATCATATTCACTGTAGAGTGAAACACTTGCAATTTGAAGGGCTGATGCTAAACAAAAAGTAATATTTGTTGTGAGGGAATTCTTGAGATCATCCAGCTCAATCTCTAGGAGTGACTGGAAGCAAACTACATTTTTCCATGACCATCTGATTTAAAAAATTTGGGTTGCTATGTGTTTGAATCCTAATCTCCCATCTGCCTTTCTTCCCATCTGTTTCCCTTACCACCACTCCCCGTTTGCTGTCCCAGCTGGATTCCCCACCAGATCCCCATCCTCTGCCCTTCTGCGCTTTACCTTCCTGCCTGCTCTTTGCACCATCTCTCTGCTTGTTCCCTCCAGCAGCGCTCTCTTCCCCAGGCAAAGGCAGCAGGTTCTGCAGTTAGTCTGGAGCCCTGTCTGCATGCAGGTCAGTTGGCTACCAAGAGCAGAAGGGCAAACACTTTGCACACCATGTGATTTGCAAACCAGCAAAGGGAAACAATTTAGAAATGCCTTGCTGATCTACCAAAATTTATTGTAATTTGTCAAATGTTTCTGAAAGCTGAAATTCTAATTAGCTGATGCTTCAGAGCCCTCTTTGCTGGAAGACCATTCACTCCATCACAGACAGCAACATGAGTGGGATGCAGAGACAGTGAAGCAGAATCCAAGCCAAGGTCAAGTGCCAAGATTCAGTGAACAAAACTTACTATAAATCAGGGAAGATAAATTTGACTTTCTGCTTATCTTGCTTTCTCTGGTCAGGCTATCTGTGGCCATTCATGCTAAAATGCCCACATTTTTTTATTTTAAAAAGAAGAAAATCAAATGTTGATAAAAGAAAAAAAAAAAAAGGAAATGTGTATAAGCAGGTTTGTATTTCCTGATGGGACATTTATTAATTTACTATTTAATGAACATTAATGTGATCCTGACAGAGTCAATTACATACATACATGCATACATACATGCATGTACATATATATATATGATTCGCTAATATATAAAGAAATACTCTATTGTGCAGAATCTGTGTGAAAAAGCTTCACTAACATAACATGCTTCAGAGATAGACCAATTATCTCTTTAAAAAGATAGTGGCTAGTTCTTTCAATATAATCAAATTTTGTTGTCGTGTTAGATGTAACAACACACAAAGTTAACTTCTCCTAAACAAGTCACTCCTTTTGAAAGCTTTGTTCAAACTATTTTTCTTCTTCTGGAACTTCTGATGCCCATCAGAGACATGAATAGGACAGAGCAAACTGCATTATCCTGCCTGTACATACAATGGGTCATTATCCCCTTATCTTATAAAAATGAACAGAGGAAAACCTCTATCAGGTTATACCTTCAGCTATGACATTTATCATGTGTGGTGACCGAGCTCAAAACCTGCACTTCTAACACAGAAAGCACGCTCTCAGTCCCCCTCAGTGCTTGGCTGCACGATGTGCCACCACTCTGGGAACTGCAGACGTGCCAGCTCTTTGCACTGAATGAACCTTGTTGGCAAAATAGTGGTACCCAACAGAGCCATTGCACCATGGGATTAGTGAGAGTACTGCCCCTCAGTGAGGAGGGACATGAGGAGAGATGTGCAGAGTCCCTGGGCTTCAGAGCAGCAGTCCTTAGTGCAGTGCTCCCTCAGTGCAGCGTCTCTCTGCCAGGGGATTGTCTGTAGAGAAGTCTCAGGACTTCAGTAAGGTCAGGCTGGCAGTAGAAGGGAAGTTAGGAGAGGAAAACAGAGATGCTCCATCTGCCCTACATGGCCTTCCAAGGTCCCTCTGCCCCTTGTCCAAAGATTCAGCATTATTGCTGTTATTTATTATAATATTTATACCTGAAAGCACACACTGTTGCTGATTCAGATGTAGCATGCTGAGTTCACAAATGACTGGGACAGCAATTAAAATGCATCCAGTAGTGACATGTTGTCAGATGGAGACTTCACAAACAGACCTCACAAACATGTAATGGTCCCAAAGCTACCCCTGAATATTATGTTTATAGTAGCTGCACAACACGGTACCCAGAACCACATTTTCTATATGCATGGATATATAATAAAAAAGGGAGAAGTAGTACCTGGAAGGTGAGGAAAGAGCATGCATGCTTCTCACAATCCCTTCTGTTACTGCCAAAGGATCCAGAGGAAAACTAAGCTTTCTGGAGCCCATAACTCCAGCTGGTTGCTGAACCAATTGCTGAGCAGGTCTTCTGGCAGTCTACATCTGCTGGTGATGTGCTGCCAGAAAGCTGGGGCTTAGGGAGAGAGGACTCCGTCTGACTTTCGAGTCTGATGTTTCCTGTGGTCACAAATCTGGAGGCAGTGTCCTGGGCTTACCAATAATTACATGAGTGCTTGAGAATTGCTAATTTTTGGGGTAATCCTGGAAGTAGGTATGGGTTTCTTCTGAAGTGCTGTTAGCAAATCTGTTCTCGACATGGACTGTCTGAATGTAGGTATTTTCTAGTTACCCCAGGGAGATATTTTCAGCCTACTATTATTAAGTAAAATTAATCAAGGGAATGCTGCAAAGGCTCCAAAGCATAATGTGAAAGATGTGGGAATAAAATCCACTTATTAATTTAGATTTCACCCAGACTTTGCTTAAAGCTAAAATTAGTAGTAAAATTGATAACAGTGCCCCTACATGGCGTCAATGAGTTTCCCTGGTTGTTTTAACTATGATGAGAAATGCTCTTGGACACAGGGTATAATGAAAAAAGGAATTTTTCACTGACTTAAAGTTTGCTTATTTTTTTTCTTCACATTTAAAGCAAAATAATATAAGATTTTTATTTTTTGTGTTTTAGATCAGATGCATGAGATTAGGTGCTGCTGGCTGGTGTTGCCGACCTTCTAGAAGGTAATTGTGTCATTTGCTGAAAAGAGTAGCTCAAGTGCATGAAAGAATCCAAGTTACTTCAGTGCTCAGGGGACATTTGGAGATATTCCTTATTTAGTTTTAAATCAGACTCCCCTGAGGATGTAATACCACTGCTTTGTTGATGTATGTGTAGGCTCTATACAGAATTTCCTGAAATAAGCAGGA